AATTCAATATTTACCATATTACATTTATTTATATAATTCTATTTCTTTTTTCTTTTTGGGCATTTAGGATAAGTAAGGTAGCATTTGGATAAAATTTAGGGTTTGTGCTTTTCAAGTAAAAAAAAAAAGAAAGAAAAACACAAAGCCCCAATGTTCAAAACACCTTTTTACCTCAATTTATTTCCTATAAAGCAAAAGATTAAATTATTAATGAATTTTCTTGATAATTTGATCTCAATTCAATATTTACCAGATTGGAGGTGAGCAAATGGATTTCTACATGGAATTGGCCTCAATTAACCTTATCAATTTGTTACCAAGTAAGGTTTGGTTCCAAATTCTTGGAACCAACCCCCACCTAGACCAACTCCAAGGTCCCTATTTGAACCTACCTAGATAACCAACATTTATTGGTCTTGGTGGAATTGGCCTTGGTTAACCTTCATGTAATTGACCTTGGAACCAAACTTGCCTTGAAATAAATCTCAAAATACATTGAGGGTGTGGAAATTTAAACCCAAATATCATGGTTACAAAGACCATCATCTCACTTGACCATTAAATCACTTAAATGATTCGATCATTTTTCTTAAATTTAATATTTTAATGTGTATAGTAAGTAATGTAAAAAGTAACATTTACAAAATTTAGATTATAATGATAAGTTTTAGACTATATATAAATATATTATGATAATCTACAAATTAAATTAGTTGACCTAACTAGAAATTTAAGTTTTGAACTTATTATTATTATTATTATTATTATTATTATTATTAGGGAAAATTTCTTAAACTACTCCTAAGGTTTAGGAAATTAACTGACTATACCCCTATTGTTTCTTACAATTGACAAAATCTTTCTTACCGTTAGTATCTATTAACGGGAGGATTAAAAAGACTATTTTGCCTATCATTCTTCTTTAAATTTTCAAAATGAAGCTTTTGGCACCTTATTGAAAACAAGAACTTCAAATAAAACTTGTCTGAGGAGGCGGACCTAGAACCATGATTTCTAGATGAAACCAAGCAGGATAAACATTAAACTTGGCCGGCCCATAACCAAAACATTCGACAAGCTTTATTAATGTCTAATGTTTCAAATATTTATCTGTAGTATTCTTGTTTGAATCATTGGAGTAAAAAAACACGCAATAGAGGTTCAACTTACTAATGAACAAATTCTGCTTCTTTGGATTTGGAATGTCCTTGAAAGATAAAAGTGGTTCAATTCCAATGACGACACTTGTTGGAAAAATAGTAGAAGACGTCTTTTTAACAACACTTGGCTTGCCCAAGGAAGCGTTCCCACTGTTTGTATGTTAGATTACATTGTCTGTAGTGGCAACATTGTTAATAGAATATATAATTGCTTCCAACAGTATCAACAACATCAATTTGGTTGTGTTAGACAGTGTATGCCCTTAGCTCCAATCACATTGATGTACAGATACATTTATTGTAAATGAATAAAAGTACATTATTGTTTCACGTTGATATTGGTATTTTTCTATGAAACTCCCTTTAAACTGGACACTTATGAGACTCATGTTAGTTTAGAATATTTTCAGCCATTGGATAGACTTGGGGAGTTTATCCTGCCAAGACTGATACTGATGTGCTGCCAAAGAAGTTGGGGCAACTTATCTCAACTGCTAGGATTATACCCAAAGCACATGTAGTGTGTGTTTGGTTGAAACATTGAACCCGGACCATTTTCCAGTTATGCCTTGGACCTTAGAAATTGATGGTAAAACTGGAAAGTTACACATAACCCCTAGACTTGATATGCCAATTAGTGAGATCCATTGAGGGTCAAAACATGGGTATGTTGGGGCAGTCTAAAAATTCATTTGATTGGGTGATCATAGTGATAGGATCGACCCCTTTGTCGGACAAAGTGAGTGGTAGGGCTTACACTCTCTATGATGGAAACCTAAACTGCTGACAATGGATTTCAATTGTGTTTGAGATTTGATTTTGCAAAATATATTTATATTGATATATATATTATGTTTTATGAAAAATGTTGGCAAAAGGTTTTAATTCATGGGATCCATTCGAGTAGAGAGTATGGCATTGTACCTTGCAGTCAAGGGAGAGGGTCTTCCCTATTGGGCAGCGTTTGATCATTATGGGCCGAGAGGTTAAGTGTATGAGACCATTAAGAACTAATTACCCTGGACTTTATCTTATTTAAGTCCATTATCCTTGGGTCTTCATAGGATGGTTGAATTCAATGATCATTTAAGTGTAAATGTTGGGCCCATATTGAGCCTGTAGTGATGTGCTCAGGGGTTCACTGCGTCTAGCAGTCAATTTGGTCAAGCTATTTCATAGAGGTTGGGCCGAACCCATGTGGACTTATGTGAGGTCATTGTGGGGTCCCATGCCATACAAATCAGGCTTAAATTGGCCATGCAACACCCTTGGGTCATGAGCCTTATAGCTGATGGGATTAAGGCCCATAATTAATAAGATTAAGTAAGCTGCCACATGATAACTTGCTCTAGGTTGAATCTGGGTTTGGAAATGGGTATGGAGAACCCATCCTCTTAAGAGGATAAGGCTTATTTCTTAACATAATCCAGATCCAAATTAGATTTGGATAATCTCCTAATTTTATTAGGAGAAGTGCTCCATAAAGAAATAAAAGAAGAAGAGGGCGAAGTAGACAAGAACACCACTCTCTCTTGTTCTCTCTTGTTCTCTTTTGTCTTCCAAGAAACCCTATCACGACCTAGGCTTTCAAAGACTGATAGAGATCAGTTTTCTTCTAATTTTTGCAATAAAATATTAGAGGAACTTTAGGCTCACCTTCCCTAATTTGATCCAAGTAGTTGGGTTGCAGTTTTGTTGAAAACTATGTTGCTGAATCAACTTCACCTACACACTGCACCATCTTTAGTGGAGGCTAGTTTTAGGACTGATTTGGGCATGAACTTCCACCTTGGTATCTGCATTTATGGTATCTGTATTAGGTATAAATCTCCCCCTTTGATTGGTTTCAAATCGTCTGGTTCAGTGCAAGACTGAGCCTAAAAAATGTAGTTTTTCAAAACATAGGGATTTCAATTCCTAAAAGGGTTAGGAAATTTTTGAAATTTCACCCAGCCATCTAGCAAGGTTCAGCCATCCACATGATGGATCCTAACCCTTCTAACAGGTTGACTTCCGACGAAGTCTTTTGAGAGATTGGTTAAGCATGATTTCGATGTTGGTTAAATACAAAACCTAGATCAAGCTCATTTCCACTAATTTAACAAATGAAACCCTCACATCGGGAAAGAAATCAACACCCAGAAACCCTAGGCATCCATCTCAGGAACGAACTTGAAACTCATCATCTTAAAATTTTAAGGGTTTGAGAACAAGACAGGTAATGCAGTGAGAAGCGGAGCAGAGTCAAAGGATGTTGAGCAGAATCGGTGCTAGAAACTAAATCAGGTTCTTTATTTTAATTTATAATTTATAATTTTTCATAAGATTTGTCTTTCTTGTATCATTCGACTGATAAATTGTTTAAACTTTAGGAATTTGAAGGTTAGACTTAGATTCAGACTTTCCAAAATCGTAGATTCCCAGGTAAGAGTTGCCAGAGCTTCTTGGTGGAAGTAGAGCCAGAAGAGGAACCTAATTAATCTTAGCTGACCTTTGGAGAAACCTCACCAACTTTTCCATTGACCCTTCCTAACATAGTACCACTCTTCTTGTTGCATAGGGATGCCTTCGTCTTCTTTGCTTTCTTCTCCGGTGAAACCCCAACAGGCTTCAACACCTCTGTTATTAGCTTCTAACTCAACAATGATGGTTGTTTGTTTGTCACTCTTCTTTTCTTGGTTACTGTAGTGGGTTTAGTAGCTATTGTCTTGCCTAGCTGTAGGCTTCCCCCCACTGTCGCACCACCGGTCAAAAGTTGCAGCGGTAACTGTTGTAGGCGATGGTGCTCCTTCTCTATTTAGGCAGCAGTGCTTTGTATGTGTTAAATGGAAGGTTAAAAATGTGATTTTAAATCAAAGGGTATTTTGGATATAATTTTAAATTAAATAAAACGCGTGAAGCCATGTATAAACGGTTTGTGACAAGACTTAATGGGAAGGGAGTTGTGTGTCAATTGTCAGAAACAATAAAGCTACTTTAAGATAATATCGACACAATAGGGTATAATTAGTCAATTTCATAAATCTTATGGGTAATTTAAGAAATTTGCCATTATTATCATTAAAATCAAATTTTTAAAGAATATGTTCTTTCTTTTTTAGAGATAAGAAAAGACCTTAAAATTGATCTTAATAGAATAGATTTAGTTCCAAAAACCTAAAACCGACCCAATTGCCATAAACCCATATCAAACGGGCCCTATTCAACCTTCTACCGGATTACATGTATTTATGACTCAGTGCGGAAAGAGTGCAGTTAGAAATATTAGTAAAAATACAAGGTTTAGAAATAGGCATACAAGATTTTGAACGGAAGATATTTGTATTTTCATTCTTCCCAATTTGAGTTATATAATTTTATTTTTCTTTTTGATCATTTGGGACAAGTAAGGATGCGTTTGCATTAGCTTTACGAGTTGTGCTTTTCAAGAAAAAAAAAAAAGAAAAACACAAAGCCCCAATGCTCAAAACACTTTTTACAGCCTTAAACTCTTGAGCAAAAGCTTAAATTATTAAGCGAATTTTCTTGATAAATTTGACTATAGATTTTTTTTTTTACTTTTTTACTTTTTTCCTAACAAAATACACTAATTTACAAGGGTATTTCGGTCATATTCGGTTTTATACGCAAGCCCTAAAAAGGGGGGAAGGGTATTCACAGTAATTTTTCGGGGGTCAAAAACACACAGAGCCACCGGTAACACAGCCTCGAGAATGCCAGCTAGGTTCGGAGGCACCCGAACCTAGCCTTTGATTCCCGAACCTATAGGGACGGTGTACACAGCTGGAGACAGCCTGTAAGCAACCAAGTCCCCATCTTCCCTTTTTCTCTTCCCAACTTTGTTTTCTCAGATTCTCTTTCTCTATCGTCTTTCCTTCCTTCTCGTCGTCGTCGTCGTCCTCTCGTTCCTTCCTCGAGGTTAGGGTTTCTCGATCTTTGTACGCAGTTCTAGAATTCTTCACATTGCAGATCGAGAATTACCGCTATGAGAGCTCTTGTTCCGTGTTGTTTCGATCTCTTTTCCGGGCAACAAATTAGGGTTTTTCGTAACGGGAACAGGCGGATCTTCTGAACGGAAATGTTCGACATTCAAGGCATTTCTTGGAAGGTAATTATTCGTTATTTTTATTCATTTTATCATCCAAGCTAATAGTGATTCGTACAACGATATGTACTGATTTATTTCTTTCGGGATTATTGTGGAAGTTTTGCTTCTGTCATGTAATTTTCAGCTGAAAACATAGACATTCACTGAAAGTATATGATTTTTTTATCGAGATGGTTCAACAAATGGAGTTTTTTCCTTGTTCTTGTTTTTGATTTTCTATTTTAATGGGGTGGAATGCGCATATTTGGTCTGATTTAGAAGGTTTTATTTTGGACTAAACTCACCCTTGAAGAATTTGCCCTTTATTTTCTCTTGAAAGGCGTTGAATGTGAAGAGTGTGGCTCATTAAAATTGTATGGAGTGCTTATCAAGAAAAAAAAAGTTGTTTGAAGGGGATAAAGCTTTTGGCTTCGGGTGATTTGTTATTGGAGAGAGGTTGGAGGAAATCTTGATGTGTTCGTCTTGGATATTTGTTTTCATTCTGACTTGTTATTGAAATGTTCGTTGAACAGTGAGTGAATTAATGAACATCATTTATCATTGTTTTGTGTCAGTTTTGAATGAATTTCTGACATTTCTCAACCTGCAATTTCTGGGACGGATTGATGTAATGACCACTAAATCCCGTGGGTTTTTTCGATAAGGTCTTGAAGGAATTTATTGTGATCAGTAATGTGGATTTAGGAAGATTGGCGACTTTTGATTGGAGAATGAGTAGGTGGAGGAGCATGTTTGGTTTTGCTTATGTTACCTCAGTTTTTTATGGTTCTTTATTACTATAATCTTATTCTCTCCTTTGCCCAATTATGGTGGTAATGTAGTCTGATGTCACCTTGAAATGGTCAATGAAGCACACCGATTTTATTAAATTGAACATTTGAAACCTCTTTGTTGCTTTATGGTTTTCTTTCTCTATATATGCTGGCTCATGTTTGAATTTGGTTTTCATTTGAATTTTAGGTGGTATAGACGGAAATTCAAAGGTGGAAGGCTTCAAGCTTTTTGGATTAGGTGGACTGCAATAAGCTTAAGTTATTGATAGACAGGCATCAGCTGTAAGCATATTCGGACTTGATCACTAGTTTGTAAGGCAGGCGAGTTTACTTCAAGGTTGCATTAGGATTGCTGGAAGCAGCAAGACATTGGAGTGTAGTAACCTGTTTGAAGGGACAGTATCCACCAACTCCATTGGGTGTCTTGCTGAAAAAGCATTTTATGTGATCATTGTGAAGTTATTTGGAGTTTGGTGACAGTATTTTAGAGATATTGCGCAGGTGGGTTGTTTTGTTCTTGTTCCTTTTGCAAAGGAAGCTTGGTCGTTACTGGAGGGCTCTTTCTGCATCCATGCTGGCAGAGAGCATGCGTGGAATCCGTGCTTCGGGTAATGCCCCTGACCAGACTAGTCGCCGATGCATTCGGTGTTGTGACAATTTGTCTCGTCTCTCTTTTGACTCTTCTTGGCTTGCTTTGCATCCTCTATTCAATTTATTTCCGGTCTCGCATAAGAGGACAAGGCTTTTCTCAGCTTCGTTATTTTAATGGACCTTGGATCATCCGAATCACATTAATCTTATTTGCAATTTGGTGGGGTGTTGGTGAGATTGTGCGGTTAAGTTTGTTGAGACGTGGGGGAAGAGTATTTGACTCTTTCAGCTTGAAATGGCAGGAGACCATCTGCGAATTTTATATTCTGTCGAATCTAGGCTTTTCAGAACCATGCCTATTCCTCACCCTTGTGCTTCTCCTTCGGGCCTCCTTGCAGAGGCAGTCGGGAACTTTAAGCCAGAAATGGAACGGAAATACTGCCCGTGTTGTGCTTCTCTATTGCCTTCCAGTGTTTGTTCTTCAGCTTGTTGTCATTTTGGTTGGGCCCAAATTGAAGATTAAAAATGAAGAGAATTATGTGAGGATACCACATTATTTTACAACTATTGCTGCTCCTTCTCCTTCTGATTCTCAGCAGCCTGACGTTGTTGCTCTCTGTACTTACCCCTTACTGAGTGTAATTGTCCTCGGTCTATTTGCAAGTCTCTTAACTGTCTATTTGTTGTGGCTTGGAAGGCAGATGGTTTCATCAGTGATCAACAAGGGATTGCGAAGGAGAGTGTACTTGCTGATCTTCTCTGTCACCTGCTTCTTTCCATTAAGGGTTATTTTACTTGGTTTATCTGTTCGATCCCAGCCAGAGCAACTTCCATTTGAAGCTCTTGTATTTTTAGCTTTTCTTGTGCTTTTATACTGCGCTGGTGTGGGTATTTGCATGCTGGTCTACTTCCCTGTTGCAGATTCATTGGCCCTGAGGGCACTGCGAGATTTGGAAGATGGAGTAAGGTCCTCAGATTACCACAATGATACTACCTCTCTTATTGCTAACCAGAGCCCTTTTGAAGTGAGTTCCGCCACAAGTTTAGGGAGAAACTCAGATGCTTCAACCAAGCGTGGTTCTATCTCCTTCCGGACTATGCTAAAGGATGAAGCATCACCAGAGGTTTATGAGGAACTATGTCTCTTATCTCCTGCAACCCATCAACTTGCACTCACACCGGGCTCTCCACCTCCAGGCCGGTCCATGCTCCCTCTTGATCAAGTTTCTGAACTGTAAGGTGCAATTGGGCCACTCGTTAAAACAAGTTTTTTTGGTAAAGAAATGTTGTATGTAAAGGGGTTAGTTTAATGATTTAATAAGGATCTTCTTCTGTTCATAGGTGGCTCATGGCTGTATTCTCAATTTTATTTTTACGAGAGAGATAGGTTCTGCCTGCCATATGCCTATTCTTAATTTTATTCTTTGTTATCTATGTTCTATTTCATGCTATGTTCTACAAATTTCTTCCATGGCATAATGACCTTTAACCAAGAATGGATTTTTGTTCTAAAACAAGTTACAAGCAAAGTGCTGGGTTCTCCTGCTATTTGTGATGGAAAACTAATTTTCTTAGCTATTGAAATCATGTCATTGCCATGGTATGAAATTGTGAATATGATGAAGCAAGACAAATGCCTACCATTAATTGTTTAATAGCTGGTTTTGTTCTGGGTTTTCTTTATTATTATTATTATTAGATAAACTGCTCCACTGTTCTTTAACACTGAGGCTATGAGCTTGTGCCACTCGTTTACTTTCAGGTTTTGGGCTGCTGCTTGTTGATAGCAGTGAGGGAGAGGGGCCGTGATGTTATGACCCACATGGATCATGATCTCATTCTCGTTGACGGGTCCCTGGTTGGGATTTGGCTTTAAAGTCACCCAAGTGGGTCTGTCGGAATCAGACGTGTTTGTCACATGTTACCTGTACTTGCATGAATCAAGTTGTTCCAAAAAAAAAAAAATGCTTTGTCATTCACAGTTGTTCCGTATGATGCTTTTCCTCATTGCTCCCCTCTCCCCCTCCCTCTGTGTAGGTACCATCACGATTGTCCATCCCTGCTCTCTTCATTCTGGGAAGGGAAAAAAGTGGAAAACAAAGAGAATACGGATCAACCAATTATTTATCGACCCTGCCGTCCTGCATTTTGGTTCCACAGACCATTAATGAATGTTCAGATCAAAATAACATTGTAAGAACCTGTTGGATGGAGTTGGGGTTGTGCTTGATTCCCTCTTGTATCCCAGGGTGTTTTTTATGTATTAGGGTCTCCTTGTTAAATCTCTACTACACGAGTAAAGAGTCGATTTCGATCATGCTAGTTTTGTAATCATTTCCCCAGAGTAGGTGTTCTTCATGTTTTAGTTTGTCAAGATTCGGATCATTGATGGCATTGGCTTTATGTACATGAAGTTTTCTTTTGGGTTTTGTCTACCCAGTTTATGCATTAATTTTGGAGTGCAAGCTTTGTTTTTTGAAAGAATAGCCAAATTGAAAGAACACAACTGAAATCAAAGTAAACATTTGTAATATGGGGATTGTATGAATTCTTGTCTTTTGTATTAAAAAATGTATTTATAGCATGTTTTTTGAAATGGTTAAAGGTTGCCTAATTAGGTCAAATAGGCTTTTTTACAAGACTTTGCTTACTCCATGTGAAGGATGGAGTTGATCCATACTGCCCATTGGGTTGATGACTATTTGGTTTTCAGTTCCCAGGTCTCCATCAGCTCTATATCCTCTCCTACCCTTTGTCGGTGTTTATGCTAGTTGAGGTTAGGTGCCCAAAGTTTGTTACTTTTCACTATGATTAACGGTCAAAGAAAAGGTTGGTAGCAAGTTCGCAACTAGCAAGGGCTTTTGAGCAGAAATTGGTCCCACTAATAAATGGAGGGGACTGGGGAGATCAAGACATGGGCTTTCCCTATTTGGCCCCTTGTCCAAAGTTACCTCGTTTAAGCAACTTTTGTAGGCACTTTGTAGGCATTGTGCCCTTCCCAAACGCGGATATGCATTTCCATTTTCCAACTTTGACCCCATTTGGCATGTTTTACCGCGTGGTCTTTCAGCTGTTCAGACTGTGCTGCGGTCTTTTTCCGTTTTGTTCCTAATAGACTTAGCCGCCAAAAGATGGTGTGTCAAAAAGACGTGAAAAGCCCATTTTGGGCTATTTTGGGAAGCTCAAAATGGAACTTTTCGCATCTCTCACTTTATTCTCGTGCAGAAAGACGTGCAGTAGCTAAACTAGTTTTGGGTTGCTTAGATTTTCATGCAAAAGTTCAATGTGTCTTTTGATTGACAAAGCTACCGGAAGATCTTTCCAAAAAGACATGACACTAGGGATGTCAATAGGTTGGATTTATCCAACAAAATTGAACCAGTTATTATCAGTTCTGGTTTTGTGGTTTTGTCCCGATTAAATTGGGTGAGGACTGAGGACCAGTTCTTGCTGTTCCAATTAAAAGACCCAAAGTGATTATATTATATAAAGGTCTTGTAGTTTTTTTCTGGTATCTTTTGCATCTTTTGTTATACTAGTAAGTGTGCATGTGCTTTGCACGTGGCAATTCTAAATGATGATAATGATAGTAATAATGTATCAAAATATTTATATTAGTATGTATTTTTATTTTTTTATTTTAATTATCAATAGGATGTAGTTTGCAAAATTCAAATCTGATTACATAAAAACCTCATCCAAATATCATCGGACCAAGTTGTGAAGCTTCAATTATTATTGATAGGCCTATCTACTTGGCTAGATTTTTTTGTAATGTTTTATCTTTTTAGTGTATCTTCTTTTTTTGTTTATTTATCAAACAAATGTAAGATTTAGATAAAGATAATTGAATGAGGTGAATGATGTTCAATCCGAGGTATGCTAAGTCGAACACGCAGCGGATAGTCCTACCAATTGGACGAGGTTGAGGTGGAAGGATGAGGTCGTGCATTATAGTCTACAATCACAGAGAGAAGTAGAGGCATGAGGAATTTATCCCTAGGTAGGCACTTCGACAATCAAGTTAGTACTGAAGATAGAGAGATTGGTTGGGCTGAGCAGGTAGATAGCTGGTCCAAGCCGAGGAGAGTAATGTGTGCGAGATCCCAACGAGCTTACCTTAAGGGGTAGATGCCTTTTTATAGATTGAACACCTGTATTGTAGTCGGATGAGGTCCGTAGGATTGTCAGGATGAGGTCATTCATCGAGGTTCTCAGGAGGTCCTGCTCTCCCCGGTGGGCTATGCCTCCTTGTCCATGTGAGACTACTTCCTCATGAGGCTTCTTCATGACACGGTTGTGGTGACGTGTGCTGGTGTGGTCTGAAGTCATTGGTCACAGAGGTAGATTATGTGGTAGCTTTTGCCAGTTAAGGTGTCACCCAAACAATGAAAAAGTAGTAGTGAGGGTGCCAATGAATCAGTTTTGGATAGGACCCTGTCTAGTCCAAAATCAATTTTGACGGATTGGACGGACCAATAAGACATTGGACTTGACCAATTTGGTCCAAAATATTTATTAGATTATATTGGACCTGGTCCATCTGTAATAAATTTATATTGGATTGAGATGAATCAAGTAAATATCTGATCCATTGATATAAGAATATAGGTGTCAATGGATCAGGTTTGGGTTGAAACCAATCTAAATTAAAATGAATTTGAATAGATTGGATCGTCTAGACATTAAATTGAACTCGTCCAAAATATTTACTAGATCCGATTGGACCAAATCCAGTCCAATTGACACCCCTAAGTAGTAGTTCAATTTACAATTTAAACATCACAATTAAACAGAGACTAAATTCAAAATTGAGTATTTTATTTAAAAGAATGTTCCATAATCTTATTATTCATATTTTTAATAGGAGTGTAAATATTGAATTATAGATGTGTTCAATTTTTTTTTTATAAAACTAATTTTGAAATACAATTATAGTACATTTGGTATAAGGTCAATGTCGGGGACTTTGCCCTGCATCGCCATCTCTTGATCAAGTATTCCAATTATTCCCTTGTATGGGCTAATAAAGCTCATGCATTATATGAAATTTAGTTGGATTTTAATTTTATAGCTTTTTATTACTAATTAACTTAATAAATATTTTATTATAAATTTTAATAAATTTCCTTAAAAACAATTTTCATGAAAATGGAACAATAGGTGCAATTATATATAGCACCTAGATATTTAAAACTATTTAAATAGAATAATAGTTAACTTTATTATCTATATTAAGTTTATTAATTAATTTTAATAATAATTATTACTTATTAATAATATGATTTTATGATGTCCTAATACTCAATTAATTATTATTTAGGTGAATTAAGTTAAGTAAGTTAAGTAAATTAAGCAAGTTAACTAAACTAACTAAGTTAATGGAATTTCAAGTTTATTAATGAATTTGATTTTACATGGAACTTAAATCTTTTATTAATAATGCTACTAATTAATTATTGATCTTGCAATAATGATTACTAATTATTTTTATTAGTTAATTATTAATAAATATAATTCTTTTATTCTTTTGTGTACCCATATGCGACACATTTTGTTACGAGTAAACTTACCATTTGATGTATAGGTAATTGAAAATTTGGTGCAAAATTATCCGTAGTATTAACTAATTGTGAGCTCTAGGAAGCTCATGGCGAACTCAAAGAAATGGAGTCGCCACCCAATTTTTAGAGCGAATGGGTCATTGTTTTTAGATTTGAAAATTGATTTTATCTCTTTAACAGTGACTCTGTTCTTTACCAAGAAAAGAACTTAATTGAAAGATTTTATATTCCAAGGATTGGAAGAGCGGTTCAGGCTCAAATTCCAATGAGAACTAGTAAAAATGATTGCTAAAATTTCAACAATCTCTTGAAACGCTTGCAACTTCTTCCAAAACTGATTTTAGGTGGTGTCATCAGGTTTTAGGTATTAATTTCCCTAAGACCCTTGTTTCTCGACTCTTTTTCTCAGTTTGGAGGAAGCTGGGAATACGAGTCACCATGGTTTCAGGACTTTCAGCAACCTAGAACTAGATAAAAAATAGAGGTTACGAGTTTAGGTTTAAATGCTAAAGTGAGAGACTAACCTCTCGTGTGCAACCTTGATGGGAGTTTTCGAGTAGTTAGAACAAGTTCAAATGAAGCTTGAAGGAGATATTAGGATGGATGGTGTGCTTCTAGTTTAAAATCTTGCAGTTGAAGGCAGAGGGGTGGACTTGATGTTTGAGCTCCAAATGCTTTGAGATTTTAGGTGATTGAGGGCATTAAAGAGGTTGGAAAATGCTCTTTTTGGTCTTTTCCTTCTCAAGCTCGAGTTGAGCCTTTATTTATAGAGAAAAGGTGAGGAAAATGGGTCTAAAGCTTGTCCATTATAGTGCTTCGGATTCAATAGAGTTCTTAGACCGAAATGGGCAAAGCTTATGTCGTTGTTATGTTTTGTATATCGCTTCTTGATTATTTGTTGTGTATCTGATCATTGTTGTTTGTTTGCAGTCTTTTGTCTTAAAGAGGATGGAGGTGCAAGGTGAGTGTCCTGATTTTGTGGGCCCACGGTTGATTGATGGTCGTACTAGCTTCGACAAGGTATGTATGTGTTATGAGTGTATGTTTTCTGCATATTCTGGATGTTTTGGCCTTGTGTTTCCCTCAGGCATCCTTTCGCTCTATCCCCTCATCTGTCACCATATTGCCACTTATCAAGCGGTTGGCTGTGGAATTAGGCACTCTCTACCCTGAGGCTGTGGAGAAAAAGGAGGTCGGTGATGGCATTCGTTCGGTGCAACATCCGTTGGAGGTGTCGGGGCCTTAGGTCGATCAACTACAAGAAGGCATCAGGTCTATTGATGATTCTGTTGCTAAGTCCATGGGGCCCCTTGATTCCTTAGAGGAGCTTGTGGCCTCCGATGCTTTTGTAGAGGTTATCGCTCCCTCTAGTTTGTCACAAGGGGAGGTTCGACCCTCTCATGAGTCCCCGGTAATCATGGAAGATGACAATGATTCAGGAGAGCCTGTGGTGGATGTTCATCTTATGGGGGGTGATATGTTCGAAATGCCTTGCAACGAACTGGAGATTTCTACGGAACTTGCAATAGTGCACCAAGAGTTGACAAATTACTACAAGAAAGAGGAGATGGTGCCTATCGGCTTTGGGGTGTCTAATCCTATTATTGTTCAGGGCATCCGTAGGCGAGAATAGTTCATTAAGTCCCACAATGATGCGAATACAGTGTCCTTAATTGTCCAGAAAGGGTGGTTGCCTACTACCGAGTTCCTGCCAGTGATCATGAGCGCCTCCCTGAACACTATGGCCGACTTGATGAATTCCATCATGTCTTAATCAGTGGAGTTGTTATTGTGGTCTCTTTTTGCCTGTTGGTTGAAAACGTGTGTCTCGTTCACCGCGATGGGCTTTATGATGGAGCATATCCAGGAGCACGTGGTTCGAATGGCTCACATGTTCTGGA